TATCAAATGCAATATGGGCTGATCCAAAGAGCAGTGAATCGGTGGAAGAAAGCCTACTGAACTGAGGTTCACGGGAATAAGGTGAAAAGGTGGGTAGCACAATCTGTAAAGAAGGTCTATTTTAGGTTTCTGGGTCTCCAAAATATGTGTCAGTGCTAACAGGAATAGCAAAAGAAAGGAAGTGATTTTTGCTTTACTTGTTTGCCAGTTATATTCAGCGCTTGACAGGCATATAGATATATATAAAACATAATAGATGAACGTATCTATACCAAAATCAGGCTCTTGACATTATCAAAGTAGAAATTACAAGGGAATGACAATCAGCCTTTCTAACAGGGAGAAAATGAAAAATGGCAAGATGCTTTCTGGAAGGCATACACAGCCTTGCAGATTCTTTTTTAAAATATAGCCTTGTATCTCTCAGGTTGGAAAAGATGTTTCCTAAATGCTTAAGTTTTAAGGTCAGCAGAATATACTATTATCATCATCAAGTCACCTCTGCCTCCCTTATTGCACAAGCCACAGAATTTCACCAAGTAACTCCTATATCATGACAGGACTCATTGATCTAAGGCTTATGCTGCATTTAACAAAACAACTCAAAAAGTTATTTCTGGTGCATTGCTCTTGGAATAACTTTTTTCAGTTCCACTATTCATAACACTGCCCTGGGTTCAGCTGTAACAGTTATTTTTTTCCTTCCTAGTTGGTGGTGCAGTGCTGTGTTTCAGCTTTATTCTGAGAACAACACTGATAACACACCAATATTTTAGTTGTTGCTAAGTAATGCTTACCCTGATCAAGGACTTTTCAGTTTCTCATGCTCTGCCAGTGAGAAGGGGCATGGGAAGATGGGATGAAGCAGAGACTGGACACCTGACCCAAACTAGCCAAATGGGTATTCCATACCACAACATGTCATGCCCAGTATATAAACTGGGGGGAGTCACCCAGAAGGCCCAGATCACTGCTTGGGTTGAGCTAGCTATTGGTCAGCAGGCAGTGAGAAATTGTACTGTGCATCACTTGTGTTTATTGGGTTTTTTTCCTTTCTCTTTTTATCTTTATATTCTTTCTCCTTATTATTTCCCTTATCATTAGTAGTAGTAGTTTTGTATTATACTTTAGTTACTGTACTGTTCTTATCCCAGCTGTGGGGCTTACATTCTTTCAATTCTCCTCCGTATCCCAGGCAGAGAGGGTGGGGGAAGGAGTGAGTGGCTGCATGGTTCTGAGTCACCAGATGGGATTAAACCATGAAAACACCAACAGGTAGACTCTTTTCCAACATATGCCTTAGAGAACCTATAGAGGCTCTACCTACCAGGAGGCAAATTTCTCATGGTGACCTGTTTTTTAGGTTTATTTTACATAGCCTGGCACGGCAACCTCAATCTATTCTGCTGACACCAAGGCTCTACAACACCTAACAGGGTGTCTTTGAAAAGCTCAGGCAGGGCTGGAATCCTAGATATCAGAATCTAAAAGTACGCAACCCAGAAGGGTAAGTTAAAAGTCCCAATATGTTAAGCTTCCAGATTGCTGTAGATCTTTCCAGCTGCTGCCAAGGGATGTAAATTCACAAGATAAAAATATCTTCCAAGTCCTAAGCCATACTCTAGCTTCATTGATTCCAGGAGGAAAGGGGATGGAGAGACAGCCAAGCCTCATTGTGACACAGCCCCTTTCCCTCTGCTTGTATCACACTCGTGCTTTTTCACTTTGTCCCTTTGCTCTCCTCAGTAACTATGACTGACAGCAAAAATAATATTGCTTTAAAACATACTAGAGAATCTATCAAATGTAGCTCTTTCCTTCCCATGGCTGTGTCTTTCCTGGAGCATATTTTAGGATGGGGGCAAGTATCCCATCCAGAGCAGGAAGAGCCAGAGCACCAGGCTATGCTGCCTTCTGACGGTAAGATGAAAGGTGGCCTGGCAGAACTTTGCCACAGCTAACGCTTTTGACTTTACTGGGTAAGTACATCTTGTAAGCTCTATCTTGCTCTATCTTGCAGACTTCAAAGAGAAAGAATGAGAAGAAGAAAAAAAGGCTATGAGGTGAAATTATATAAGCTACAAATAAATGAGACTCTGTCTTCCATTTGCCAGAGCTGAAAAAGTGCAGTTCATGACAAGATAGGAAAAAGAAGTGTGCTTACAAAATCCCTGAGAATGGGGTTATTCCAATATTTTGAAATATTCTTTTAGCAGCATTAGGAAGGACAAGACTTGCCATCTGAATACATGTATTATAATTACCAAAAACAAAGCACATGTCTCTTAAGATGAAGTGTAACAGCCACTTCATAATGTACGCTTCCTTCAGTGTGAATATATTGATGCCCTGTCTCTGCAAAGTGACTGATTCAGTAGGGACAAATGCAATACTATTTTTTTTTTTTAATTCAGAAATATCTTTATCTTTTTTTTTTCTGTTGCTGTTCCTCTCTACTCTCCACTTTCACCCTTTCCTAAAAGCAATATACTAGTTAAAAAAACAAACAAACAAAAAAATTGTTTATTTTAGATGTTGTTATCCTCCCATAACTTTCCATTACAGAAAATTTATCCATATTTGTTTTAACATATGCAATAAAATCTGCACTTGTAAATATAATAACACTATACAGTACCCTATTAAAGCACACTACCTTATTAAAGCTTATCAGATACTACTTATGCACAACTGGTATTAATCTTGGTATATCCCTCGAGGGGAAAAAAAACATGTTATTGACCAGGGATAACAATTATCTCAAGCTAGACAATTGGTTATGGAAATTTTGGGGGTTTTTGTCATGGGGTTTTATCATGGTAACTTTGAAAGAAACTCACAACAGAGACATTTAACCGCCATTCTGGTATTTTCAGAATTATGAGACTAGAACCTAATTTTTATCATATTCAGGCTCATTATTTCAACAAGATGGTTCAAGAAGCATGGCTGTCTGTTCACGTAAGGGCAAACTTCCAGAGCATCAGTTTTTATGATGTACCACAGTATATCATTCTCCCCACAGAAGACCTTTTATATGTTTGTGGATTTTTTTAGAATACAAAAATATCTAAAAATACATACATATCTACATATACACAAAAAAATATACAAGTCATATAACCTTTGTTGTCAATGGGATTGTTTAAGAGAAATGCCTGTCTTCAGTCTACTCAACTAACAGGTGTTTATTCTAACTGTGTTACTGTTCCTCACTAAAAACAGAGTTGATTTACAACATGTATTGACTACCTAAAGTGGCAATTGGTCAGGATTTTTCAGAAATACCTCATGATTTTAGGTCCTTCAATTTTTCAGATATTCAGAGGAGGAAGCAGGATTAACTGTATATTAGGGATTTTTAAAGTGTGTACATGAGTTACAGGCAAGCAAACAAGGTACAATAGTGAAAGTTGGTGCAAGCCAGGCATTAAAATCTAATTAAACTAAATCAGTAAATTTCACTGTTGATGAGCTTTGGTTTTGTTTCCTCTTCTGAAAACTGGGTTTTGGGGTGTCAGACTCTGAAGGGTGACTCATTAAATTTGAGTTGCTTTTTCAGAGAAATAACCAACCAGCTAATTTCATCATGTCTGTGTCCCTGCAAAGTTGTCAGGGAAATGCATATTTCCAAGGGGAAGAAAGCCAATTACTGCTGCAGAGGTTATGCATTTACCAGACGTATGAAATAAGCATCTCTGAGTACTGTCGGGGTTTTTTGCTTCATCTTTCACTGAGCTTCTGTCTATTTGCTCTTGAGTACAAGACACCCACATGCCATCCAGCAGGAGCCTGATAAGCAGCTTTATGCACATCAGAGAGCACTGGAGTTTGAGGAGACCAGCAGGTTCCCGGTTGAGAGCAGCATTCTGTGTCCTTCACAGCACCACACTGACGAGAGGAACACCATCCCCTCAAGTCTCCCTTCCATGAGGAACTGTTGTGTCTACCAGCAACATAATGGTGCAGATGGCATTCAAGAAATCACAGACATTGAACCACAGAAAGCAGCTCAACTCTCAGCTCCATTAGCACCAAATTCTGCTCCTGTCCTATGCCATACAGTGAAAAATTAAAAATATTTGTGCTGAAAGCCAACCCTGCAGACCAAGGCAGAAAGTACAATGCACCTGACAATGCATGGTCTAAGAAGGCTCAGCTTTGTTGTAATCCATTTTATTTTACCAAGGATAATCCCTCCTCACTGCACTCTATAGGCCTATTGTGCTATAGAAGGTAATGCTAAAATGAAACAGAATAGTAAAGACAATAGAGCCTTGTACACATGAATATTGTACTAATCAAGAAAAAAGAAAGGCAAGCGGGTGGGGGGAGAAGTCAAAGAAAAAAAAGTAAAAGGGTAAATTTTCTCTAACTAGCCTGTTTCTTTACACTCAATTCAGGGAAATTAATTCCTTTATGTATTGATAAAATATTTCTACAAACTCTTTGAAAGCTGACAGCAGAAACTTTGGACATATCTCCCACTTCTATGGCAACAAACCCCTAAACTGGAGTAAGAAGTCCAGAGGTGGGATATTTTAAGATCTGCGTAAAAAAAAAGTCTCAAAAGTCAGAATTACGGATGTGTATACGAAAAGGGAACACTTATGTAGCAGGTCATTTCAAAATTTAGCAAAACACCAAAGTATTGTGAGGTTAATTAGAAGTTTAGATGAAACAAAATAATCAAGGAACAATTGTACATAATGACAGAGAAACAAACCCTTCTTACTTAAGTTCAGCACCAAGATGAAGGAAACTCTGTATGAACAAAACCATAATGTTTTGATCTAAGATCGTAGCCCAACTATCCTCCCACTGATGGAAGCAAGTTGAGATTGGACATAAGTAAGATGTGAATGCTCCATCCTTGGCAGTGGTCAAGGCCAGGTTGGACAGAGCCTTGGGTGACATGGTCTAGGGTGAGGCATCCCTGACCATGGCAGGGGGGTTGGAACTAGATGATCTTAAGGTCCTTTCCAACCCTAACTATTCTATGATTCTACAAGTAATTCAAGGGAGCAATGCTACGAGACAGAAAAAGTGTATCTGTGCAAAATCATGGCCTGAAATTCAGTTTTACAAAAGGAAGCCAAATATTAATGACAAGTAACAAGATATGACAATCTAAAATACATGTAAAAAGGCTGTATGAAGGGAAAACCCCTACAGGCAATTTATATTTCAAGTGGCTACTCAAATCATTAAGTGGAGAACATTAAGCAAAAGGAAAAATGAGGGAAAACAAACTGGGACAAAATACCAGAAAAGTAATACAACACTCACAAAACCTGAAAGAGGAAATTGGAAAGGGAGAAATGCATGTTTATATTTTGAAAAGCAGAGACATGCTTAGGATGTACAGCAAATGTGAAGGAGTAGTGTCGTGGTTTAAACCAAACCAGACAACTCATTCACTCACTTCCCCCCCACTTCTTGCCCTCCCCCTACTCCCAGAGGGATGGAGAGTCAAAAAGAATGCAACTCCAACGGGTTGAGATAAGAACAGTTTAGTAACTAAGGTATAACACAAATCACTACTGCTACCACCAATAACAATAATGATAAAGGAAATAACAAGGTAAGAGAATACAACACCTCACCACCAGCCAACCGATAACTCATCCCCCCCAGCCTGACCAAGCACCGACCGATACCTCCTCCAACCCCGCAGTCTCCCAGCCCTTCCGGCTAACTCCCAGTTACCTCCTGGGCATGACGTGCTGTGGTATGGAATACCTCTTTGGTCAATTTGGGTCAGGTGTCCTGTCTCTGCTTCCTCCTGGCTTCCTCTCCTCCCTGGCAGAGCATGAGGCTCACAAAGTCCTTGGCCAAACCAAAACATCCTTGTTATCAGCTCTGTTCCCAAGCCAAAGTCAAAACACTGCACTGCACCAGCTACCAAGAAGGAGAAAAATGACTGCTACTGCTGAACCCAGGACAAGTAGCTAGACAATAGTAATCATAAACAATTTACTTTTTTAAGTAGGATGGTGGACATACATAGGTGGACATAAAGAGACTACAGCTAATCAGAATAAATACTGAAAATCACAAGGGGAAGTGGATGGGATAGAGTCATAGAGTGGGAAAGTACAGGGGGAAATTGAGAATGCAAAATAATTAATATATGCCCAGTTGCTCTGTGGCTGTACCAACAATGAATGGACTTTTAGCGAAAACCAGACTGATGAGCAAGTAGTACAAAAAGTAAGTGAGAATAAAAAAAGGATTAAAGAAGGATTATAGAATTAAGTTTTCAAACAGATCAAGGAAAAAAGCAGAAGACAAAAATGAAAGGTAAACTGCACAAAAGGTTAAAAAATACAACAAAAGATTTTTAGAAATTGAAGACGGAACCACTGTAACATAGAAGTGTTTATCCAGTCCAGCCTCTTTTTGTCATTAATAGATGTTGAAATCAATGAGATCAATGGGTTCAGCTGAAGCATTTGAGTCACTTATTCTCTAATAATAGATGAAAGCTGTTTTAAGCTGTGGGCTAGATGACTAGTGTGATGCCTGAAAGCAATAGCGCAAGGAGAAATAAAATGCTTTCTTTACAATGTGTTTATTTTGTGTATTTGTCAGTACTTGTGAATTATCCACATCATTGGTTTGCTGACAGTTTGCCCCCTTTCTTCATCTCTACAAAACAAAAGCGTATGTCAATAAAAGCAGTACCAAGCCTGGAAGTGAAAAGGTAACAGAAAAGGTGTATAATACAGAAAAGTGTAAATAATTTATGTTAAGAAATGTTAGGCATGCTGCAAACACAGGTTACCCTCAAAGATAAGCTCTGCAGATGAATCTAATAACACAGTGTGACTTCATGTGGTGTAGGCATGTCATATCCCAGTAAGTCAAGACTTGCAACCCTGAAATACTAGCTTTCCTAAATAGTCAAAAGTAAGATAGTAAAAATCATAAAAATGCTGCTAAAATCAGAAAACAACTGAATTATCTCAGAACAAACTATACTTGTACTCCATTTCTAACAGACTGTTTGTGCCTACTTCTGATTATTTTGATAAAATTTGCACATACCACTAAGTCCTTTAAGAAGAAGAAAGACCCCTATCCTGTTTGAAGGATTTTGAGTCCTCTTCCTGCTCTCAGCCACCTAACAGTGACTCATTTTCTTCTTAATGATCGCAGGAAATGTTCAGTTCTTGAGTTTGAAGAACAAAAACCATCTCAGCTTTTTGATCCTGTGGCTGTTTACTCTAAAAGCTATCAGTTTAATAGGTTCTGAGTTTTGTTCATATATATATGGATAGCACATAGTAGGATATTCAAACAGTGATTTGGAATTGAAACCTTCATGTAGAAAGGTTGAGAGGTATACAGCTTGAGAAAAGACAACATCCATAAAATTTTGACCACATCTAGGGCGCAGAGGAAAAAACTTATAAAGTCATAGCACACAGCTTAATAGAATTTAAAATATTCTATAGCCCACAAAGCAGGGAATCAAATATAAAATGAAGAAAATAGATCCATCGCTAGGCAAGTAATAGAGAATAAGATCATATTTGGAATAATGGGCATCATTCTAGTCACCTTATTACGGAAGCACTGAAACCTCATTGGCTGACATCTGAATCGAGGTGGTTTTGGATGTCGTCCTGTTTTTTCCGTTATTAATTTTGTGCTCAAGGGCAAATGCCAGCAGTGCTCATTTTAGTTTTTACCTCCTGCTGCAACTTCAACTGTCAGAGAGACAGCAGGAGTCAAAAATGAAAGGAGCCACCTTACAGAAATGCTGTGCCACTATGTCATTTTTAAACTGACAGCTTTTTACAGTCCAATTTCTCAGGGAAAGAAAAAAAAGACTTTCATTTTCACCTCCCACTGCTGCTTTGACAGAGAAAGACATTTACCCAGGTTTGAATGCTGGTAGGAGGCAAAAATGTAAAGCTGCGTCAGAGTGTTTGTAAGTGGGCTTTGACTACCCCGTAGAAGGATAAGCTGATTTGGGACAAGTTGAACTCTAACCTTTGCTTACCAGGTGGCAAAAGAGAAAAATGCACCCACCTGTCTTTAATGCAATAGATGGAGACTATTCCATACATGAGTATAGAATGAGCCAGATACACCTAAGGATTTCAGTTAATCTGAAAACATAAAATTGGATGGTTTAATAGTTCTTGGCCTTCAAGAAATTGGCAATTGAGAAGATTCTTCAGTAAGAATAACCATTGAGGAAGGTCGGAATGTCTAAAAGGAGGAATTTAGGAAAAAGATAGAATGCTCCCTTTGCCAGTAATATATAGCAAAGAAAATCCCTCCCACTCAAGGGACTCAGGGAAACAAGCTAAGAAAAAAACTGAATGCTGAAGAACTACACAGAGTAATTTTTCGACAGTTATTAACATAGTACATACTAAAGCAAAATATTTGTGATGGTGGAAGCAAAGTAATATAGAACAATGACATCAAAGTATATCTACAAGAGATTCGTTTAGGATCATAATCTATCTAGCTTCTATGACATGTATAGTATTTAGAAAATGCAGAATCCAATAACAATAAAATCTAGCAATAAAATATAAAAGTAGAAATAGCCCCTACTCAATGCTGGATTCTGTTTTTCATTTTCAAAGTATCTGTTACATACTCTTTTGAGCTCAGTGTTAAAATTAATTGCAAGTGACAGTGTTACTCAAGCTAAAGAAATTAATCTGCTATCATTTAAAACTGTCTATTGTTAATCTTGTATTCCTTGTTTTGGGTTTCTGCTTCTGCCAATGTCCATGACCTTGTCAGGCTTAGAAGGATGTACTTGACTAGAACATGCAAAATGTTTGGCTCTCAAGGACAAGAACACTGAGTGTCTCCAAATGCATTGTTGAGACTGACTATCTAGAATAGCAACAAAGCTGTGGTATCTGGAAAAAATGGAAGCTTTCCAAGAAAAACAGCATATATACATATATGTGGTATACAATTATATATACATATAGGCATACATATATGTATTCAAAAATACAAAACTGTAAATCTAAGCCTTTTACTGAAAACAGATCATTGACTGTAATGAAGTCTCAATTTATAATTAATGCCATGGGTCTGGCTCCACATCCTTTTTTCAAGTACATGGGATAGCAAAACTGTATTCCAAGTCTTTTAGATGTTATACTTTTACACATTTTATTTTCTGTTTTTTCATTAGGATGATTTTGAAATCCTATTTCGTTCACCTAAGCTCATTGATAAAACCTTCTTGTTATTATCTCGAATCATAGAATGGTTTGGGTTGGAAGGGATCATCTAGTTCTAACCCCCCTGCCATGGGCAGGGACACCTTCCACTAGACCAGTTGCTCAAAGCCCCATCCAGCCTGGCCTTGAACACTTCCAGGGATGGGGCAGCCACAGTTTCTCTGGGCAACCTGGGTGAGAAATTATAATTTCTTACCTTCTAATAACTTCACATGAAGAAAGTTACTTTCAAGTCCCTCCTGCCATTTTCCAAGATACTCAGGCAGCTACTTAGAAACCACAGTCCCCTTTTCCCTACGTTTCATTTTCACAGAACACAATATCTAAAACAAGTGAGCTGGCATACACAGATACTCTCTCATACAGTTGATTCTGTGATAAAAGGTAGGGAAACAATTCTCACCAAAATTGCCTTGAGTATTTCTAGACCTTATTGTTATAAAAGAAAGCTTGAAAACATGAATTGGGCAAAAAATGATGCAAGTTATGTCTGCATAAATGCCCTTATAATATGAAACATTATCAGTTGTAGTTCTGAAGGGTCTACTGGTGGAAACATCAAGATAATAATAAGCAATACACAAAGATAATGAAAAAGGTAAAACATTGTTAAATACATAAAATAAGCAGCAGTTAAGTGGCTGAACCGGAGCTTCTGAACTAATTGCATAATCACTGCCCAATTAATATTCTTATTCTTATTCTTATTCTTATTCTTATTCTTATTCTTATTCTTTCTTCTAATTTGCAATGTAAGGTTCAAAATTCCTGTTAGAGCAGTATACAGACATCTTAGAGCAGAATTTGAATCCAGTTTCACTGCATAAATCTTGCAAGAGCTAAACAAAGAAGCACAGAGAATTTATAGATCATCATCTTTTAAATACCCATACAGTCTGCTGAGAGTATCATTTTATGTAGAAGGACCTTATTTTGTAGTGGCTAAAGAGGGTGCAATTATCTGCTTTTCCTCCTTTCCTGGTTAGCCAGTGCTCCAGAGAAATAGAAAGGCAGGTAGCTGGAGTGGACCAGAGGAGGCTCTCAGGAAACAGGGAAGGAAGAAGTATTCAGGATAAATGGAGCAATTGTCTCACAGATGTGAATGTCTGAAATGGAGTAAAAGAGCCCAGATATGTTCAGAGGTAATTGTGTGGAATAATAGAGATTGGTTTCTCCTAAGTAATAACCTTAGGGAAGAGAAGGTTTTTTACCACTGATAGCAAAAGCAAGGCAGGTTGCAGAGAAATTGCATAAAGAAGGGATTTGAGTTTGGGTTTTCTTTTCCTCTCATGTGCTTAATCCAAACTTCTCTCAGTTTCTATCTGAATTCAGGTTAGCTTACTAAGCCTCACGGCCTTCCCCACTTACTGTACCACCTTTTAGTGGTACATTTGTTCCTGAGTCAGTTTTGGACATCAGCTTTGGAAAGGAGCATATCTGTGAAAGTATCTGCATACCCGATGATTCCAAACAGAGCCCAGTGGAATTTCACTTGTTTCCCACAAAAAATACTAAATTAATCAAGCACAAAATGAAATCAACAAGCACTAAATGAATCTGGTTATTCGGAAAAAAATTCTGCTATGTACCCTTTTTGGTTTAGAGTTTTAAAACTTCTGTTTCTTAACCAGGCTGATAAATCCAGAGGCCAAGTCAAACCAAATATATGCTGGCTGTATAGTTAAAGGGGGGCAGGGGGAAAGAGGAGGAAGATAAAAGGAAAAAAAATGGAGAAGAAAAAACCCCTGAAACAATATTAGTTTTGACTTTGCATAGACACCTCCTGATAAGAATTTTAATACAACATATATGAGGTCCAAATTCCTCTCTTATTTGCACTGTTAGCTAGAGGAAATGTTTTGACTGACAGGAAGTCAGTTCATGTTCTGATATACAGCTTTTCATTACTACAGTGTTATATAGGTTCAGCATGAATCCCCGAGAGCAAATCCCTAGTATATCCTAGCACATTGTTCTTTTCACTCCTGACG